TCTCCCCGCAGCCGGAGCTTGGCACCCCCTGCCCACCCTCAGCCCTGCACCCCCCTCCCCGCCTTCAGCCCAGTCTGCTTTTACTGCTCCCAGTCTCCTCCCAGCTCGAGCTTTACCCTCCGACTGCACAGGGTGCCCTGGGACGGCTGCACATTCCTCGGACATCCCGCTCCACTGCTTCCTCGTGTGGATTCGGTGAACCTTCCTGTTGCCTATAAACGGGATTTCAATCCCTGTTTTCATTAAACTGGGTTTGTTTAACGTGTGGGTGCCGGACGCCGACGCTTCCGTTGGGCAGGAATTTTGGAGACCTGCCTTCCGCCGGCACCAGCCTGTCGGCACGCGTTCGCTGGCTGCTGGGGACCCATTAAATCGTCTCTTCCGTGCTGTGAACGGGGCGATTCCTGCGCTGAAGAGACGGAGCGCAGAGGGAACCGTTCCCCAACGCGTCATTCCTGCGGATACGCGGCTTTGAGTGCTCACGGCCTTTGCCTGCCTCCCCCTGGCCTGGGGGTTGGTGGATGGGGACAGCCCTCTAGGAGACCCAGCGGTGGGAGTGGGGCTGCGCCCCCCGGGCCTCGGGCTCTCCAGCCCCCAAACGCCGCTTCGCCGACTGCACCAACCACACGGGACCTGCCTGGCCCCGGGGCTCTGGAGCCTGGAAGCGTAAGCCTTCGCTAAAAGCAGCCGCAGACGACAGAGAAGGAGAAGCCCGGGTACTTAGCAAGTAAAACTTTTATTAAATAAAGGTTTTTCTCTGACCAGTGAGGAACGTGACGCTGAGGGAGCCTGTATCGCACCGGTAACGCCACACAGTCACGTCGGTAACTGTGATGGAAGAAACTGCGACTGCTTGTCCTAAACCAGCTTGCCCTACCGTTTCCAAAGTCCTCATTTTCCCATTTTGCACTTGTTGTTTGGTTTGTTTTGTTCAAAATTAGATTAAAGTTTAAACTTCATGAAATTACTTGTAGCAGAAATAAAGTACATTATACAAATCACGTACGTAATAGATGTTAAGTATAAAAATGGTATTTACAATAAGTAAACATGGACTAGAGGAACACACAGACTTGCACGGCTTCACCCACCTCGCTCACAGACTCTCAGCATCGGGGACAGGGGGGGCGTTGAGGAGATGCGAAGGGACGGAACTGCGCCACAAACACCTGAACGAAGGGAAACGGGAGGAGGAGGAGACTTGGCTGATGTTCTCTCGCGTTCCCGTCTCGCTTCAGCACCAACCTGC